AGGACATCATCCTAGGGGGATCTGCAGGGTGCTGCCATGTCCATAAAACAAGCAGCAATAAGCATATTCCTGCCTGAGCCAGCAGAACGGAGCTTTGCATTCTACCCTCTGCTGAAATAGCAGAGCAGACCTCCAAAAATTGTTCCACTGATCCCCCACAGAAATTAACAGTAGAATTTGGTATAATGTGTCTAGTAGCCCCAAGTTAGTAACATATTCATGTGAGTTTGAGTGCAAAACATTCAGTCATTATCCTGAAAAAAATCATAGCTTATTAGGCTGGGTTTTTCTAGATTGTAGATTATCAAAATAATTAAGAGTAACTCCATAAATGTACATGGAATATATTCTAATTGATCAGAACTGTGGCCATCTTTGATTTTATACTTCCTCCACAAGGGGCAGTCACCACTTCACTGAAAATTAAGATATGTTGATTTTGCCCTTTGAATATTGGGATGTACAGTTAAAATGTGGTTGGTAGGGAGCAGCAACTCCACTTTCTGGTTCTGTCATAAATTTGCTGTATTATGTCAGGCCGGTTATTTAGGGGGGTGTCTCTAATTTTATGTCCTTTGCTACATATATCTACTAGTTACACATCTGCTTTAATCTAGTCGTGTGAACAACTTCTGCGGCTGTTAAAGAGGTAGCAGTCATAGAAAACATCTCATCCCTTTGTAAGTAGCTAACAGTACTGGGGTGTATTGCTCATTTCTTTTTCATTTGATTAGTGGAAGTTAGCTAACTTCAGTATGAAAATAGTTTTTGTGATAATTGAAATGATCTTTTGGGAGTCACGATATGCAGAGAATCCCTCCGCTCTGCCAGTGTAGGAAAATGACCTGTTCTGAGATACAAAGGTCCCAAACTTTCTGAACAAAACCACCATCTCTCTTCCCAGTCCTGCTGAGGGGTTTCCTGACTGAGGAACTTGATTATCAATATCTGTCACCACCTGGTGACTTTCAAATTAAGGTACAAGCATGTTTGGGAAAAACATAACTATCATTTCAGAATTCATGTATTACAAATCTTGATATTTAAAAAAGTGGATATGATGATGAATTGTTTTATCGAAAAATAATTTGTTTCTAAGACAGTCTACAGTTTGACTTAATAGATATTAGCAGCCTAGTACATGTAAAAAGTAGGTTTTTAACACAAATTGCTCTGGTCATTTTAGTTCCATGTCAGCTTCTAACAGTTGGGAAGTGGTTCGAGGTTAATCGGGAACCAACAGTAGTGTTTAGTATCTCATGGTCAGCAACTGATCAAAGCACAGCCTGTAACGGCAGTATACAGGACCTCGGGGGGAAAAAAAAGTAAAAGTTTTATCTGGATATGAAAATTTCAGAAAACACATCTTTATGACTTCAGGTTGAATTGTAAAAATATATTAACTGTGGAACTTCCCTGGAGGATATTTTATAACTAATGTCAAAGGAAAGGCTTGTTACCAGTTTTCACCACATTAAGCTGATGCAGTTTTCTTTATAGCATTCCAATGGCATGTCACATACCCTTACTTTTCTGTAAGTCTCTAGAACCTCTATAACCTGGACCACAATTACCCAAATACCTACCTTTGCTACTGCAGTCTTTTGACTTTGAAGCCAGCTGATGGGATTTCTCTTTAAATCATTGATGTGAATGAACAGTTTCTCTTGATTTGGGGGCATCTGATTTTAAAATATTCCCTCTGCTTGTCTTATGAAATACAAGTACATCTTCAAAAATGCATCTATGCTATTACATAGACTTTTGCCTTCAGGAATAATACTTTGATGAATTTGTGATTGGATTTGGTCAACTAAATTTATAATATTTTAAAATAAAATAAAAACCTGGCAGCACTTTGACAGAATTGGATTAGATAATTTAGTGATGAGTGTTGTATAAGAACCTATGCTATAAGTGAGAGTACTGGAGAAGAAAGTATACATGGATTTAGGCTACTATTTCTTCAGTCCTCTTTTCAATTTTCAATACAAAATGAGAATTTTATCAGAGTTAACTACCGTGGAAGGGGAGGGAGAGGAAAAATTACACAGAATCTCTGGCCTGGAACATGATTAAGTAGCCATACAATATGGTAACTGAAACGACACTGGACATTAATTAGTTTTCTCTGTGGGAAGTACCAGTATGGGCAGCAGATGTTGACAGTGAGAAGAAATAGCAAATTGGTACAAAATGTAAGCACCTATTGTCTAAGGAAAATCTCATAATAAATTTTATCATTTTTAATGTGAAGATTCATTTTATGCAGAATTAAAAAAATAAGTGTAAGTCAGGACAAATGTATGTAGATAGTGTTATTAGGAATGCATTTCACACAAAATGCTAATGAAAGGCAAAATCAAAAATACTCCCCTCCTTTTTTTGTACTAGTAAGAAAGTTGTTCTTAATCACCTGTTTTATTGATGAAATCTTAGTGTACTAGAATGATTATACAAGGACGCTTTATTAACTTTCATTAGCCAAATTGTGAGAAATTCAAGGAGTAAAAAAATACTATATATAATGACATGTTCATTGAATAATCAGAGTGGGGAAATGCTAAGGAAATCTTGAGTATTATTAATACCAAAGGAAGGCACTTGTGATATATATTTGTATGTTTGTAGCCTTTTAAGCTTCTCAGTGCTGAAAGCTTGCAGGCTGATCGTAGTCATGGCAGTGAAAGGAGCTAAGGAGGCACACTTTCTATATTTTGGCTGTAACAGAGCATAGACGCAAGCCTCCTATGCCGAAGTAAAACAATATAATGCCAGCTAAAAGGTATTTTAAAAAATTCACATGTCAAGAGAAGTGATTGAGTACAGCTTCCTTGTCCAAATCTTTTTTTCCTTTTCTGCTCTGTTACTGGGCAGTAGGTACAATATGAGCGATCCAGGTACGAGTAGATGTGGTAGAATGTGCTGAAGAAAGCAAGAAAAGAGTTGTTGTGAAGATACTATCAAAGTGGTTATTCTGTATGGGAAAAGTTCACTAATTGGTGGTAGTGCACCAACAAAAAGTGGTCTGGAACCTGCCCTTAATTTACAAAATAAAAGGTGGTGTAAAGTCTTGCACTATCCATGATACTATACTGCAACAGAATAAATGTTGGTCACATTACTGAAAGGAAGACAATTAGCATAAAAAATAGCAATACTCTTTTTAAGCAATGGGTGATTTTAAATATTCATTTTAATAAAATATTCTAGTAAATAGAAATACTGCAAATGCTCTGTATTTGGTACAAATCAAAGTAAAATACAAATACAAGTAAAATATTTAACATTTCATTATAAAATGGTAACGTATACTATAAAAATACACACACACAAGTTATTAATGCATTGATGGAAGGGCAGCGAGCTGAAAATGACATTTTTATACAGCAGCAACAAAGAAAGGTGACTAATCCCTGCCCATTAACTTAGCAAAAAAAATTCTATGTAGGAAAAACATTTAATGGTAATGCAAGGTAAGTTTAAAAATGAATCTTTCCACTGCTTAACTTTTCGGTAGAGTGTTATTAAGTGTTTTTAAAAAGCTGCTGGTAGTGAACTGGGCCCATATTTGTAACTAGTACAAAGTGAAATCAGTAAAGCCAGGGTATTTTATTCTAAGAGAAGTGTCTGAAATTCTCAAATAACTTACATTATTCTTCTCTTAAGCTGTTTGGTTTGTTGGTTTGGGTTTTTTTTTGTTGTTGTTGTTGTTTTGTTGTTTTAACAAACATTAAATATTATCCAGATCCTTGCTTTTTTATCCTGATATCTATTCGGTTTACTATAAGCTATACCATGTATAATGTGGAAATTCAGCTGTAAGTGGGGGGAGGCACAATTTTATCAGCTTTCAATGTGGTGTGAAAATTAGCCTGTGTGTTGGTTATGACAAGGAATGCTTCCTCTAATCTCTTCAATTACTTGTGCGTAGACTGGTATGACAAGTTCTCAGCATCTCAAGTTACCACAGCTAGTCCAAAGAAGCCCCTTAATGCAATCGCAAACCTCCCATTTCTCTTCTTGTGCAAGCACAGGGCCGAAACTGTAATAGCAAAGCAAGAATCTGGCCATTTCAAACCATTTCCTGTATTTGAAACAAATTAGGCAGGAGAATCAACAGAATAAAATGTAATAGCAGACAGGAGGAGGTCAATGATACATATTTTCTACAATCAACTGCTTGGATTTTGTACAGTTGGTTAGATACGTTCATTATGGGTTTATGAGCTTGTAAACACTGTTCCTGTTTTCCCTCCTGTTCATTCAGGTCTTCCTCCAGGCACTTTCTCAATCATACAGAGAATGTATTCTTCTATTTGATAATTTTTACCAGTTGTAGAAATGGGGCTGGGAGCATTGCACTTGCCAGACATCTGAGCATGCAGTATATTCTCCTGAAAGTTTTTATCAAAGTGGTGAGAGTTCATAATTCCACAATTACATCAGGCTTCAGAAGAGTAATTTATTTTATCATTTGGTGGACTAAGTTACAAATCTTCTTCTAGAAAAAGTACAAGATTTTATTAGGCAAACTAAGCAGTCTCACATCTAATAGGTCAGTACTAAATGCTTGGCACAGCTGAATGAGACAATAGCTTAAAAAGAAGTTTTAAAAACAATTATTGTTAAAAAACTTTTACTTTTTCCCTAAAACTGTTTCTCTTCCTTCCATTGAGATTTAAATTTAGAAATTAAACCTACTCTCTACTAGAGAGTACAAGCTCCTCCATTTTTGCAGCCTTCAGGGTAAGTGCAGAAGAGAAAAATTGTGTCACTTCTGTGTAGTTAAATGAAGGTTGAAATGGTCCTAAAAAATCTTTCCCTCATTTTCTGGTTATTCTGAATTAAATGGGCTACAATGATGACACAAGGGCTACTCGATGAGCCAAGATTAAGTTAAATCACTTCCATGATACTGGTACAGTGTAGAAATATTTTTTAATGCAAACCTCAGGGGCTGACCGCTAGTAGCATTGAAGAGTGGAGCTAAGTTCAGGATGATGTCCCCTGTTGGGAAGGAAACATCTTCTTTGGAAGGTGAGGGTTCTGAAGATACTGTCTGAACTAAATATTTCCTACTTTAAAATTGCAGGAATTTCATCCCAGCCATTCTGTCTGGTTTATGAAAGGGCACTTGATGCTGAGCATTTGTTTTAAAATAAAAAGATTTTTCTTTTCCCACTGTAGTCTATTTGCTAGTCCCAGCACAGTCACAGTTTAGCAAGTCAATGCACACACATCTCCTGTGGTCAATTAAAGTGTAAAACTGAAGAGGAAGTATTGCTACTATGAGAAAGCATTGAGAGGAATGTGAGGTGGTCAAAACTGTAGAAAAAAAAACTCCAGAGCTTAAAGAAGGTGGATGTGGATCTGATGTATGTGAACTGGAGCAGGATGTATGTTGGGAGAGGTGGTGAATGTCCCCAGAGAAGCTGGCTGAGTGATCAGTGATTTAGTCTGATGTCCAAACAGAAAAAATAAAGAGGAGGAGAGGACTGTTCCAAGTAGAACGGAAACAGAATAATGGAGAGGTTTAAAGTGACTAGGGAAAGAGAGCTGGAATCAGTTTGCTAATGCTTTTTTTTTTTTTTTTTTCAAGTCAACAATTAAAAGGCTTTCTTCATTTCCAGTCAACTTCGTTTAACATATTGCTTTCAACTTGGGGGTTTTCTTTACTGATCATTTTTTCAAACTGAAATTTGGTATAATTTATTTTATTACTATTATAACATATTCCAAAAAGTTGAGCATTTCATTTTCAAAATGTTGACCTAGGGAAAAAAACCCCACTATTTATTATCTTTTTGATTTAAAAGAAACTGGTAGCTGAAACTGAATAGAAAGAGGAGAGAGATTTTCCTTTCACTTAGTCCACAGAGAAACTACCTACCAGTGATAAACATTTATTAGTTGATAAAGATTTGTCAACTAAAAGGTAAAATTTATGAGCACTTACTGTGAAAGCTAATGTTTATCCATAGAATATGGGGAGGTGGGAGTAGGGGGTGGGGGTGGGTGTTTACGTTCATGATTTTTTTGCTCAGAAGCTGTAAGAAGAAAGTAAATTAATATTGAAGTTGGCAAAACTAATCTACAAGTAAGAAAGTAGCAAAATGTGGGATGCCTTTGAAATACTGTTTCTGTGGAGGTGTTACATAGTTTAATTAAATGATCACTTCGTGCACAGGGTGGCCTCCTGTAGAAATGAATCACCAGTTTGTGCTGAATGAGCTTTCCTTAGAATGCTTGCCTCTTTCATTGAAAAGTATGACTATGTGTGTGATGGATTGCAAGCCAAAAGGTGATTTTGTGGTTAGGGAACATTACATGTCATCTGAAGAGCCAAGCAATGAATTTGCCTCTGCTAAAATTTTTAATATGTTTCTGGGCAAGTCTGTCAAGCCCAAATGCTCAGTTGGCTCTGCTGGGCTAAGTATCCTCTAGAAACATCTACATTGCTATGTGGCACACTGCTGTCTGTCTTTAGCCTATTTGTGTATTCCAGATGAGGCACCCAAAATTTTTAGACTAGTCAGTTCTCAGGTGTTAAATCTGGGCTCCAGTAGGTTCATTTCCAATGTAAAATATGAAAATATCATGTGCACACGACCACAGAACTGCCAGCAACAGAACTGATAATGTTTTTATTCAGGTCATTGTTCTAGTGACATGCACTAAGAAAGATCAGGCAAAATCTATTGATTTCGGGAGATAAAAGTGCATAGTGATTGACTGTGTTTCCTCTAAATAAGACTGGTCTCTACAAAAGCTAAGTATCTGATCATTAAACAGATTATCCTTATATCTAAAAGCATGATACTGAATTACAGTTGCACAGCCTTGATTATTGATGGCATTGACTGATTTTTGATTCGCTGATAGAGTAACTCTACACATAATTTCTCATTTAATATGTAATAAGAGTATGTGTTAAAATACCTTGATATTTATGTGAGGATTAAAACATGCAGATGCACCTCTTTAAGCCACAGCAGTACTTACACATATAGAAAACAGAAAAATGAGGAATATTATCAGCATAGACACAGAACCTATTATCAAATTACCAAAGGAAGTGGTGTGTGAATTTGATTAGTGCCAATGCTGTTACTTATTTGTATTGCCATGGCTTCAGCAAGCACTCAGACTGCGAGAGCTCTCAGACACGCTGCATTAGATGTAGCATAAATGGAAAAAGACTTTTCCTGCTTCCAGAGAACTTTACTGTCTAAGCATAAAGCAAAAGCAACAAGGCAGTGCAGCTAATGGCAGCGCACAGCAGCATGGGGAGTATTGGTCAGCACAATTGCAAATACTGGCCAAGCTTTTTGAAGGTATCATGGGAAAGAGAATCTCTCAGAGGCCGTTAAGAAAAAAAGTGCAATAGCTAGCTTTGTGGATTTCACAAGGAATTTCTTCCAAGTGTGAGAGTCATCATGGGGAAATAAAGCCGGAGAGAAACAGCTCAAACTTTACGAGTTGGCAACTGTGACTGGCATCATATGCCAGGCTGACATGGGTGTTGAGCTCTTGACAGTAAGAAAGCGATGACTGGCAGAATGAGAAAGGGCAATGGTAGAATCCTTAAACTGAAGACAAGTAGCTTAAGTTCAGTAATAGAGAAGAGGCTGCCAGAGGAAGTGCTATTGCCATGGTGCCTGAAATGGCCAAAGTGACAGGCTGTACAAATACAGCCTTTGCAGGAACACTTAAGAAAGTTATAAGCCACATGAAACTGAATCAGCAGGGTTTTTTATCTATTATTTTACTTTGATAGAATTCCTTCTGACAGACATTACAAATTTATTGTTCTGACATTATTTTGAGAACTATTTATTTTTAATGGAAAAATATAAATGCAGAGTTCTAGTTTTGTCCAGTACATGTGCTGTAGATTTCTGCTGCTGCTGCTTTATGATTTTCCATTTCTTTATCATTAGTATAAAACCAGAAAAGTTATATTTTTACAATGTGCATATACCAGTTTTCTTCAAATACTGAATGTTTAAGAGAGGGGAACTATAGCTGTGTGCTTTAGAAAGCTTCCAAAAAGAAGGATGATGTAAAATTAAGTTGGTTCGAAGTACTTTCTTTTCCACTTTGCATTGTTTCAAGTCCTGTTCCCAAAATAGTGGGACAGCTTTTCTCTGAGTCAGCAAATGTTAGAGCTGTCTTTAGTGCTGAACTGGGATTTGAGTTTTCTAAGATTATACCCTTTTGTGTCCCCTTCAGGGACTTGCTGTGATATCATCAGCACATCATAAGTACTCAGTGGTCTATGACAACTTTAGCTTTTAAAAAATCCTGACATTATTCATCCTCTATTGAAAGCCTTGATGAATACAGTATTTTGGATCTAGTCTTGATCCAATGTAAGTCAAGAGAAGTAATGTCAAATCAGACATACTGTGTGCAATTATGCTGGCATGAAATCAGCAATGCAAATGGTGCACTGCTATGGTACTAACTGAGAATCAAAAAAAAAAAATAAGATCATGAAAGCAAAAGTGATTTTATTTTGGTTTTGATTCTCCATTCTACTTCATTTTTCTATATTTACATTCCTGGCAGAAAAAGGACAGGAAGAACATTTAGAAGCCAGGGTTGTTTCAACATCACCCTAACTAATATATGCAGTAGTTAGTAGACAACTGAAAGAGAACACAAACAGAAGGTTGAAAACATATGATGGTAGGACTACAGCAGTCCAAATTTGTATCAGTGCCAAAACTGTCTCCACTGTTGGTGGTTCTCCAGCGTTGAGGTGGGATGTGTAAAAGAGTACAGAGTACCGCTCAAGCTGCTATGTTTCTGCATGTGCATATGGAAGTCACATTGTTCTGAATATGAGATGAATATTATAGAATCCAAATTTAGGTCACTCTCAGTGACTGAAATCAATTTTGTTCAGAACTGCTATTTGAGGGCAGAATTATCTGGTAGATAATTCTTTTGGTGTATAATTTTCACTGAAGACATTTAGAGTTTTCTGTATTTAGTTTCTAGTGATTTAAGAACTCTAAATATTCAATTCCATTTATTTCAGTTTAAAAAAATAAAATCTGTATTTTTAATGTGTTATGAGCTTTTCTCAAGCAAGAAAAATAAACACAGTTAAGCAGAAAAGATTTGGAAATACAGAATGAGGATAATTTTTATATCCTGAAATAGCATAAACGTATAGTTTAAAAAAAAATCTGGTCTGGTAAAGTTGATACAAAGGTGTTAATATTAGGATCTGTGGTAAAGTTTCCGATTGCTGTCAGTATATCTGAATTCTTGGGGTTTTGTGTCCCTTTCTTGGTTTTCCCTAATGGAAATGTCTCTAAAGAGGATTGGCCTTCTTCATGATACTTCTTACTTTTTTAAAGGTAATGCTTATAGGTTGCAATGCAGTTAACATGCCCACTTATTAACAGAACTCTTAATTATACTTGCTGTAGTATGACCGGTCTGGCACCAGATGAAAGGATTAAAAAAAAGATCTCTACCCAGTGAACTACCAGAACTACTGCACTCTTTCATCTTCACACCTGATACCTGTCCAGTGATATGGTTGTAGAGCTGGCCTGCTCTTTGTCTGTGTTCTTGCTCCACAAAATAGTATATAAGAAGTATTCCTGAACTCTGGAGGAAGGAAAGCATACAGGTGGCTTCCTCAGCTAGCACTCTTCTTCATGTGTTCCTCCATCATCAGATTACCCTGCTTTTCATAAAAAGAAAGAGGACTGCTGAGTCATTAATAGTGTGTGGGCCTCCACGTATGATTATACCAGCATATATAGCATAGTACCATACCAATATGGGAAATTAGGGTTTTCAGCTCATGCTGTTTCTTTCATACAAGAACCTTGGCTTGAATGCCTAGCAGTATAACTCATTTCAACAAGAACCACAAAAAATTTAAAACAATCTTTCACTAAGAAGTTACATTCCATTGCCATGGAAACAATATAAACTCTACAAATAGGGTTCAAATGGGAAATAATACTGAGGAGCACAGATCCAAATCCAACAGGACCTACATACATTTTTCCTCAATAATAATAATAAACAATTTATATTGCTGTGAGATGCTCTGAGAATATATGAGAAGCAAGGATTGTATCGTTATTTTCTCTAATTAGATGATGTACTTAGAAAAGGGACACAAGCTTTCAGATACAGAGTTCCTTCCTCAGAATGCCGTATTGAGTATGATAGGAAAGTGTTTCCATTAAAAAATAAGATAGAACTTGACAGGGAAAGTGTATATATATTTTTATACACTTTATAAAGAAACACTGGAACATCTGAAGCCTTCGTGAATTCGGGGTGGAAATGAGCTCTATATTGAGGCTGGAAAGGCCCAAGGAATTTGTGGACTAAGCTAATATTTTTTTTAATATGAAGTTCCATAGTGTCTGCATGTACACAGGGAGGTTGTAGCCCCGTGGTAAATGTGTGATGCGCTGCTATTAGGCTCACTAATCCAGGTCTTCTGAGGCAACTCCTGTGATTTCAAACCTCTGAGATGCTTCAAAGTACTCCTGTTTTAAAAAGTATCAAAGGCATGCTGGAAAAAAATAGTTTTATCTTCTGAATAGAGAACCGTACCTGTCCAATGGTCCTGAAGAAAAGTAGCTGGCAGGGTATTGTATAAGGTAGGCAATATTTAGGCCAGGAGAAGTACTTAATTTAGCATTTGCAGCCCCATGACATACCAAGGCCTTTGTAATATTAGAAGAAGAAAGGGAGAATTCCCTTTGCCAGATACAAATCAGCTCTTGCTTCTGGTGTTGAACATCCAAACTGCCATTCAGAAAACAAGAACACCTCTTTCCAATGACCTAGAAAACACAAAATAATCTTTACTCTCTCATAAAAGTATTAACAACACTAAAACAAACAAACAAACAATTATTTGTAATTTTTCACTGCAAGAAACATGAGATGTGCATAAGCCCTTTACAAGCAGAAGAATACCAAGAATAGTTTAACAATTTTCTGCAGAGTACATGGACTAGTCCAAAGACAATAGGTGTTATAATGGCACTCATTTGGAGCAATCTGGCCACCTCCGTCATGACCTTACTGTTTTGTAATGTATATCAATAAAACCAATGAGCCACAGCATCATGCGCTTTCCTTTCTGGAAGACAAGGCACCAGCATGAGTTTTCAATATATGTGCATGTTTGTTGCAAAAAAACACATACATTAGTGAAGATATTTCAGGATCTTGTGGTGCAGCTTTTCTGTGCTAGAGTAAAAAGATGAGACCTAAAATTTCTATTTGTAGGAGAGATCATATCACCCAATTCTTCTGTAAATATCTTCAGCTACTATTTATTTTTAGGCTGCTACAATTATGCCATATATGATTTGATTATTAGGGTTAGCAGAACCATGGCTAATGGAATCAGTATCATGGCTACAGCAAGCTTTGTGGATTCTCCCTGCCAGTTTTCTGCATAGCTACACTTATGTCACTCAAGCGGCACAGGGGTACTCTAACAATTAGTTGTAAACCAGGGGGAAACTTTTAATGGACCTCTTCTTGAGATCTTGCGTTAAAAAAAGAAAAGTTCCCATGAGTGAAGTATAAGTTAGCTTTTCCAGGGGGAAAAAAAGGAATGAATTACATTTCTCTTCTTGTCCTTTAAATGAATAGCATAGTTTGGGTGAAATTATCAGGCAATTGCATGCCTTTTATGCAGATAATGCTATTTGATGAAAGCGGTGTTTTGATCTGCTGAGGATAATACAGATCCAGGGTTGGATTCATTGGTAAGAGTAAAGCTGTCTTCTGTGATAACTTCATCTCAGCATGAGGTCAGACGGGGAAAACTGGGATGGGGGATTAAAAAATGACACAGTCGGAGCAGTATTCAGTTCCCTGCTGTGCTCCTGGCTGCACACTATAGCTTATGTTTCTGATCTGTTATGGTATTGTCTGCTTTTCTCTCCCAGAGCAGAAAGAGATTGCTTAAAACTTTTCTTTTTTCAGCTAGAGGGATTAGTTCAGTGCAGCTTTTTTAATTAAAGAAACTGTATCTTTTTCAGTGTAATTTAAGGCTGTACAAGAAGGCCATCAGCATTCATAACTTAGTACTATTACCTGCGACAAAGCCTAGCCATTCATTTTACATTCAGAACAAGAAATTGCTAATAAGAGTTTTGAGGGTTAAAAATTGATAATTGGCCCTGGAATTGAAAGAAACACAGTTATCCATTATCTCCTAAAAGTTTTCTGTGGGGGAACTTCAGAAGCTTTGCTGTTAGTTTATCTGAGCTTTCTTAATTAAATCTCTGTGACACTGGGGCAGTGGCTAGGAAATGTTCTGACATGTGGGTATAGACCTAAGTGTATTTTCCCCACAAAAAAAAATATAAATATACCCACAAATATTAAAATGTCATCTATTGGAAATGTCTCTGTAATGCCAGCAGCTTCCTCTTTAGATTCACATTTATTGTAACTCAACAGATTTTCTAAAAATATAATAGTACCTCTGTTAATTAGTAATAATATGCAAATAATTAACACATGTGCATGACACCTAACAATAATCAGTATGCTTGCATGTTTGTAGATGTGTCTATGCATATATGTGTGTGTATGTATATCTATGATTCATGCATGTTTACACATATATATTCATATATACACACACATATATGTTTTTCATCACAGAGAGTTGAATTTACAGCTAATTTAAATCAGGTTAATGGCTAAAACCTTCAGATATTTCAAATAAGGCCCATATGGTGATCACTTTACAAAGCATACAGGGACTGTGCTTAGGTTGCAACATACACGTTACCAACTAAATTCCATGCCAGATCAATTAGAAACAGTTCTCCTGAGCAGACAGGAACAAACACAGATTGTTACCACTCTACTGCCTGAACTCTTGTCTTCCAGGAATAAAAGCAGTCATCTTGAATACAACATGTTTTACTACCAACAGCCTAAAAAAAAAAAAAAAAAAAAGAAAAGGAAAATAAAATTAAACCAGTATTCTAATAAAATTTCTGTTAAGGCACATCCACGTCATCAAAATTAAATCATAGATCCTCATCCCTCATTACAGCTTTTAGTTAGAGAGGTGTGTTTTCCAAATGGCATTTATTAGGGATGTCTTCTGCTAGCAGGATTGCATGTCAGGGGAGAAGGAGAAAGGAAAGAAACAGACAACAGAAAAAGCACATTTGATTTCCTTTTTTCCTCATTCTGTGTGCTTATTTTTCCTTCAAGTAGTCTCTTCCATAGATTTTCTCTATTTGAACAGCTAATTAGTGGAATTTATATTTTTTCATAATCTTTCAACCAGAAAGCTATAAAGGAAAAAATAATATTAATTATGGGTGTGAAGCTTATTTATAAAAAAGCCTCTTTTGTCTTGTAAAAAAATCATAAATTCTGAATAAATGTGACTTTATTAGGTAAACCTCTGCATGTGCATATAAGGTCTGTATATGGACTTCCAATTGCTATAAGGTTTCTGCATTCCTTCAGCTAATTGAAAATATGGATAGTTACTCCAGTTATAGTTTGCTGGGAAAGTGTTACACCAGCAAACAGAAATCTTAATTTTTTCATGGCCTTATGTACTAGTTCACACTGTTGGCAGTAACAGTGTTTTGTGATGGCTCCTACTTATGAATACAAGGTGATTAAAATGATTATGTGCTTGATGTTAAGGCCGCAAGTTTAGCTCAGGCAGTAGTTCTGAATGCAGTATTAATACCATATGAAAGGCATTTTTGTATCCCAAATCATATGCAAACTCTTTCAGGTTCTTTCCTAAGAACCCAGTGAAGAGGGTCAGCAGTTGTGTGTTGCTGAAGTGCATCATTTTCTCCAGAGGTCAGCTTCCCACATAGCTTTGTTTTATGCAGTGGAACACAAACTAATGTAGTGGAAAAGCATGACCCCCATTTAAAGGTTGATTTGTATGATAATCAGTACATTTAGTGGCTTCAAAATGAATGTGTGTAAGGCCCTATCTTGCTTTAATTAAGGTAATTAAGACATATTTCTCTCTGCAGACAGCTATTTAATTTTATGGTGTTGTCAGTGATCAGATTAGAATATTTGTTTTACAATTTTACCACAATTCAGCACTGGGGGAAAGAGCCTTTCTGGACCTGCTCTTGGCAGCGGGGCATCCTGGTGTAGGAGCTGGCGGGAGAGTGCAGCTTTTGCTTCGGAATATCCACCCTGATGATCTGGTGTGGACAACAGCTACCGGTGCCCTCCCGACCTTCACCTCTCAGGTCGGTTGTGCGGCGCATTCCGAGCGCGTGGGGTTCCACCCGAGCGGCGGAGCTGCGCAGGCCGCCCCATTTTCCCTAAAGTTTCCCCGTCCCCAAAGCGGGAGGGGGCCGGGTTTTGCCAGGGATTGCGGCAGAGCGCGGTCACTGCCAGCTCGTCACCTCCCGACCCACTCCAGGCACCTTCCCTCCCGCCGCGTTTCGCCCTCTTCGCTGCGCGAAGGCTGCGCGGGTGCTGCGCGGGCTGAGCCACCGCCCAGCTGCCGCCCCGCCCCGCCCCGCCTGGGTACCGCGGAGGGAAACGAGGAAACTCCTCCGCCGAAGCCACCGCTCAACAGCTGCCACCTCTGTCCCTTCCCGAGGCTCGCACAGGAGCGGGAGACGTAGAGCTGATCGTGGGAGAACAAGTTGTTGCCATGTTAGGGTCGGCCAGCAAGAGTGATGGGAGAGCAGATAGGAGCGTGCGTTTATTTATTTATTTATTTATTTATTTTCCAGTTAGGATTGTGATGATGAAGCATCCAGACGCAGGGTAAGGTTGCTAGTTCTTTTCCGTCACGTAGAGGAAACCCGTGCCTAGCTGCAGTGACTGCACCTTGCCTCTTACCCCGCAGAAAGATGGGTGGTTAGAAACAATTTGTTCCTTCATGAGCTGTAGATCGAGGACATCTGGCAACGCAGAAATTCTTTTCAAACGCTCCTGTATCCTTAAGAGCTGGAGCCCCAGGAGCAGAGAGTGCTGCTGAGCCTGACGAAGCCCCATCTCCCTTTCAAGCACGGCCGAACACATTGAGAGCAGTTTAAGAAGTTTGGAGAGAAAGTGACGATGTCTTGAATTTGTCTCGTCTTTTGGTGTTACTGGCAGAGATTAGTGCAGGAGCCGGCACGTTTTGGGTCAGAGGATGTCCTGCTCTCTTCTTCCACTAACACCTAGCGTCCAAAAAGATTTACTGATAGCCACATTTAAAAAGAAAGTCTCTCTAAGTCGATAAGGAATGCATATCCTTTTGTTCTTTCTCTTCTAAAATAGGAAGTTTATTGGCAATTCCAAAGAGTAAGGAAGGGCTGGGCTGTGATTTCAGACGGTTTAATAACATTTAAGAGTTGACATCAGGAAGGGACTTCCTTACAGAGCTCTAACACAAATGTGACTGCACACTTCTCAAATGAATTTGAACTCTGAAGGCTGAAATTCAATTAAACTTTGGTAAGCCCAGTAATGCTGCTTCAGATATGTTCAAGTTAAGAGCTCAAAATAAGTTCCTCTGCACTTCAAATGTGTATTAATAAGCAGTTAATGTTTGTTGTTTATCAGGTGGGTTTTGCACAAGGAAGGTATTATATGTTTTTTTCCCATTTATAATGGGGGAGCATCTTGACTCCCTACATTTGGAAGCAGTAAAACGTTCAAGTTAGCATTAGATTAATGGATTTAGATTAGATAATGTGAATGGCTGAATTACTGGTGCAAAAAATACGTTTTGCTTTATAGGTTTGCATTTGCAAATACAATTCTTAATTTTGTGTTGGACAATTGTAAGCAAAAAAAAAATAAAAACAAACAAGAAAAAAACAACAAACAAAACCACAAAAATACCCTCACCCCAAAACCAAACAAAAACCCCACCAAAAGAACCCCAAAACACCAAAAACCACCACAAGAACAAGAACAACAACAAAAAACCAAACCCCCCATATGTAAAGCCCTGACTCTGTAAGATTTGCTTTTAGTTTAGCAGAAATGCTATTCTGCATACTATGGAACAACAGTTGCAGCTCTTGGCGGAAAGTTCAGGGATGAGGTTATTCCCGTGTGCCCAGCTATGTGTTTTTAAATAAAGAATTTTGTGCAATTCCCATTTGCATGCTTCGAGTACTTTCTCATAAGGACTAAAGCCTTTGTAGGATATTTTATTTGAAATAGGAGGTCATGACGATTCCAGCCTATATCATCAGGGCATTTACTTGCACAGATCCCTGTCTGAACAGGTCTCCGTGACTCCTGCCTTTCCAAACGAAATCCCCCCACTTCAGAGTCACCCCCAAAGTCAGTGCAGATAGTTCGTTTCAATCCCATTGGTTCCGTTTTGGTATCTTTCAAAGAACTTTGCCAAAGCTGCATTCCAAGGTAGTTCTTTAGTAATATTACATCTTTCCTGGGGATGAAGACAAGTTACTTCCGTTATAAAATACCTGTTTTGTTTTCTGTATGCTGAATATTGTTAATTACACATTGACTGACTACTTAAAAATGTTTGAAACATTTGTGGGGTTTTATTACACTTGCTGCATAACGGTGCTTTGTGATGCTGCCGGTCTGTGTGTGTACACAAGCAGTACCTGCTGTAATTCTGAAATGCTGATCCCAGTACGGCTGCACCCGTTTAAACGCCCAGGAGCCCTGCCTCAGGGCCAGCCTAGCGAAGGGCAAGTGTAGTGGGAAACACGGAGGTAAAGCACTTGAGTCCGAGTGCACCTGCAGTAACGTTTCTATGTTTAGGAGGCATTTCCAGTCATTTCGGGTCAGAGGAACATGGGGATTTTCCTCAGGAGCGTTTAAGATAGCATGGTGGTGCATCTTTTATTACAGAGTCGGAGATGCGGCAGATAAAGTTTGGAAAATCAAAGTACTGCAGCGGGTAGCCAGCTAACGCTGGAAGCTGCTCAGCCATCGAACGTCCCCTAGGGTTGCGCATCTCGTGTGTGAAACGCCTTTGAGTTTCAAAGGAAAGGATAAAGAAATAAAAGAAGACGGCGGTCCTAGACCGAGAGGTAGGGAACATCTCAGCGTGCGAAAAGTTACAGCTACTGCTTTGAGTGGAGAGGATGCTGAGGCGTTATTGAGAAAAACAAGCTGAAGCGCCTTTGTACGGGAGAGAGGAACAGCGTTAAAAGCAGATATTTGAGCTGGAATCAGGTCACTCAGCGCCTGTTCCCGCCTGGCTCCGAAGGTTGCCGGGGTGCAGGGACAGACTGGGCGAGGGGCGGCGGGTGTCAGTTGAGGGGCGGGCTGCCGGGCCGGGGACCCCTGGTTTCCCCACCGGCCTGCCGGGCCGCTGCCTGCGCAGCGGTGCCCAGGCTGCCGGGAGCGGGAGAGGTGCCGCTCTTGGCGGGCTGGCCGCGGCGCTGCGCTGCAGGGAGCAGCGGGTTAATTCCCCAAATTCTTCCCCTCCCGTCATAAATAAATAAATAAATAAATAAATAGGTCCCCGCGGAAAACAAAATACGGCGGAAGGAAGCTTCCTGCCTCCACCGGGAGGAGGGAAGGCGTAATGAAGCCGTATAAGTTCATTAGTGTTTGCAATCAGGAGCACGCAGACACCTTCATCAGGGCAGAAAGCCGCGAAGAGCCATTCATCAGCCTGAAGTGCTGCTCGCGGATGACCCCTAAATCACCGCCGGCGTCGCGGATGCGCTGATTGCGCACAGCGTGGGACCCGCGCCACAGCAGTCCACGCGAGCCGCCAGCGGGGGAGGCGGGTTGGCCGGAGGAAAAGACGCCGCAGTCCTGCGGGTCCCGGCCTGGGGGAGCGACAGAGCTCTCGACCGGCCCCCCCGATCCGCGCTACGGCGCAAGTAGGTGCAGGCGGCGGCTCCTCCCCGCGCTCCTCCCCGCCCAGCACGTTGCTGTGCGCGTACCTCCGCCCCCCTCCCGCAACCGCGGCCAAACTCCCTGCCTGCCCCGGCGGGGAAGGGGGCGGGGAAAGTGAACTCCGCGGGGCGCGCAAGCCCCCGCGGCGGGGGGCGCGGGCAGCAACTCGTGGCCCTCCCCCCGCCCCTCCTCCGGCTCCCGCCCGCCCTCCGCTCCCGCCCGCCTGGCCTGACAAAGTGCCGGTGTGCGCCACCGTCCCCCGCGCTGCTGCCGGGGCGCGGAGGCGGCGAGGCTCGCAGGGCGGCTGCGGAGACGGCCGGCCGGTTGCGAGGGGCCGGGGACGCTGCCTTTTTCCCCGGCCGAGGGCGTGCGACCGAGAGAGCGGACTGGGGCTGGTGCGCGGAGGACGGCGGAGGGTTTCCGCGGCCTGACGTTTCCTCCACCTCCCCGCTTCGTGCTGGTACCGTTGTCGGCGGGACCTTCGCCAGGCGGGAGCCACGGGGCGCCCCCGGTCACGCGGCTGCTGCCGAAGCGCAGCGCCAGGTAGGGCTGAGCGCGCGGGGGGGAGTCAGAAGGGGTGCGAGTACGCAACTTGGTCTGGGAACTCCGCGGTGTGTAGCGGACAGTTGAGGGGGGTGCGAACGTGCAGATCTGCGTCTGTCAGCAGCTGCTCTGCGCTGCGCGGCCTGGGCGAAGCCAGGGGGGTGTCGGTGGGAGCGGGGCCGTTCGCCCTTAGGCGCCACGCGTGTTTCCCGTCCTCCCCCTCACGGCGGGTGCGCGCAGCCGCCCGCTCGGGTCGGCGGCCGCCGCAGCTGTGCCTGGCGCGCCGCGGCGCGGGAGTTGGCGCTGGGAAGTTTGCGGTGGGTTCCGAACTTGGCCGGCGGCGCCCCGGGCTCGCGTGCTGCGGCGGGCGGTGCCGGGGGTCCCGCGCCCGCCCTGGGCACGCTGCCGCGCGTTCTGAGGGAGAGCGGCGCCCGCAGCGCTTTATTCGGTAGGCGGTGATGGAGCCGCGTTACCGGGCACCGGGTGCCAGGGGTAACCAGACGGTGCCGTGTGCTACTGCGGTCCCGGGGAGGAAGGAGTGCTCTCCCTCGTGAAGGTACCCGCTGCTCTGGTGTCTGGTGGATCTTTCCTTCATGTGGTGTAGGAAGCAGGTCCGTTGCTCCTTGGGCTTGGAAGTTTTATGTAGCAAAGTTGGTTAAAGTAACGTAACAAGGTAAAATACAAAAGACAGCTCTGTTAAAAGTTTTAATAGCAGCTATTTCTGTAAGATACTGCGCAGTTCTAGATTCACTAAATTTTTAGATTTAAAATACTTTTTAAGTACGAAAACTTTTTACCAGTTTTATATTTGTACTTTCTAAATATCACATGTCCTTCGCATTAAGCCTTCTTAGTTGGGTGGGTGCTTGCTTAGTTTTATTTGGCTGTTACCTGCTTCATTTTATATATGTTTCTTCAGGCAAAGTATTTTGCATCATTCTGTTGAAGAGTTACAGTAATATTCAGTGGATGCTTACGTCCTAAAATTCAGTGTAATAAAGAGCATATTAGAGTATAAACATTGCTCATCCATGGTCTTACAGAAGAGTTAACTGTAATACACTTAAAGACACTCTCTGCTGAAAAATACTGTTTCTCTTCCCTTCTAAAATAAGCCAAGTACTATTCAGAATTATTAATGCATTCACATCTAGGACCAGCAATATTGGTTTAATATTGTACGTAAGGGAAGATTTTCATAAAGTGTACTTTGATGTAATGGAAAAATAGTTAGGAAGAATGGGTCCTATAT